CCCCAAAACCCCAAAACCCCAAAACCCCTTAAGATTGTAGACTTGATAATCTTATTCTAATATAACACAAATAAAAGATATAAATATAATTCACAGACTGAAATACATACTCATTTTGTCTACCTTTGGCTATTCCCTCTTTTCATTCAACATACGAATAGAGGCAAACTTCTCAGAATAAATCTCCTTGTCAAAGCACAATTTCCCATAAAAATTTCTGTTAATGACTATATTAGCCAAACTCTTTCCTATTTTGTTAGTTATTTACTTTTGTCCTTCAGAGAGTCGATCTATCAGAAATAATAATTTCAGCATATTAATATCATCCTCCTCACTAATCTAATGAGTTTTGAATATACTGTCATTTATCTGCTAAGATATTAATCCTATCGCTTAAACAAAAGAATGCAGATCTAAAACTTTTTAGTACTATTAGCTTTTCTAATTGCCTTTGTTCAGATTGTTATACTTGATTGAAGCTTTTATTTAATGGCATAATAACTCGAATATATGGTTAAGAGTATTGATCTTGACAAACTCAGGAAATATTTGATAGTCTCTTAGTAAAACCTTGAATTCCTTGAAATCTATTGTAGCTTTAGCATAGTTATTACTATCAGAATATTGGTAGAAAACAGGTTAAATCTAATATTATAGATCAGCTAATATATCAATCTATATCAAATAATTAGTTAAACTATATTACTTACAATTTCTGCCTTTGTCAGATTTAAGAGTTAATGTTCTAAGAACTACTTGCTTTATTAAACTTGAATCGTTTTCTCATCTTAATAGTTAACTAGTTGAATTAATTATGTATTGATAATGTAATCCAATTTTTCCAATGAATTCTTAGCGATCAGCAATAAAAGTGCTTTGAACTGATCAAAGTTAATTTAATTTCTTGAATTCATTTTAGTTATACTTGTTGTGCTACCTCCTACAAAAGATGCTCTTTAGTTATCATTTAATTTATTGTTATTTACAAAGGAATTCCTTAATGAATTTAGATCCATTGATAGTCTATTTTTTCTCATAATATCTCTCTTTAAAATTTAAGTGGCATTGGGCTCGTTTTTAGTTGTAACTTATGTTAAATAAAGGTCAAATTGAGCAGGATATAAAGGCTACTAAATATCGTTTACTTTATCTTGATAATCACATTGTGATTTACTGCGTTCATTAATTTGTTTAGATGAGAGGATGCCACTTAGCTGAAGAAGTTTTTTAAGCTAACTAATCTTCAAGATACTCTAACCTTCATCCATATTTGAATCACTAAAATTTTGGAAAACTATTTAAAGATTATTATTTGCTTCAGGTTGATTCATCAATTCTTACAAAGCATTACCACTAAATTATATCTAAGCTGACTTACGAGGTGAATTTTCTAAGGAAACGATCTATGTAGAAAATTATTAGGATACAGTTTTACGATGAATATTCTTAATTATTTCTTATTTTGGGATTAATTCTTTGATCTTTACTGGGCTTTGCTACCTAGAATTTAATTAAGAGTTTTGCTAAGAGTGCAAAACTGTTAGATTTTTAATCATTTCTTGTCTTTTTGGATTCAGAATAAATTGATTTTCATTCATGTTTAAATCCTTAATTTATTCCTGCATCTTTGAAAATCCTCTAGACAATTCGAGCTCTGCTAGAAAAGCTATTAATTTATCATGATCAGGTATATTTTAATTTTAGTCTAAATTTCTTTAGTGATGTCCAATAATTGCTAATTTGTAAAGAAATAAAATGAAAAATCTATCATTCGTGCCTTGAGAGTTTCCACAAATAGTATCTAAAGCCTCTTTATTTCTATAGTTAATTTAATCATATTCTTAATATATTGCTACATAATACCAAATTACAAAGCATGTTTTTTATCTCAAAAATGCAGAGGATATTTAGAAATCCATAAGAAAACTCATAACTGCTTTTGTTAATGTTTTTGGATAAAGGTGGCTTTAACTTTCGTAAGTTTTATTATTTCTAAATTTCTTTACATAGTACTTAAATAATTTTTGTAAAGTTGGAAAAATTTATCTCAAAGTTTCAATGCTGATTTTCTCAATATTAATACTGTCCAATTTTTCCTCTAGATTAATATCAAAATCTGAAAATTTGTTAAGAAGTGGTAAAAAATTTTGATAAACAATTGCTTGAATAGCAAGCCTTGGATTATTAGTGAAGTCATAAGCTTCTTTCTCTTTCATGATTGATATGACTAGATTTAAGAATTGAGAAAAATTAAATTGTGTAAGCTATGTTTTTCAAAACTCTCTTGAAATCAAAATATTAACTTCTAGTTCTTTAATACTTCCAAATTCTTGGTTTTGTAGGATCATAGCATCTTTTAATAACTTATGTAGGGTTAGTTATTTTAGAAATATATCACCAGATTCAATTGAAAAATCCGAATAGATAATAAAAAGTCTGAACAATTGATTTTGTAAAAACTCTAAATTTGGGCTCTCCAAACTAATTTTCTAATTAGATTCTGTTTTTAATTACGTTTGCTAAGTCAGATATTTCCTTTGTAGATTGTGCATAATGTTCATATCTTTTGCCTTTATTACTTAGCTTGCATGCCTTAAATGATCCTCAAGAACAACTTTAGACATTGCTGAATCTTGCTGTTCAATTTCAGTTTCTCTAAAGTAATTCTGATCAAAGTCATTATTAGTAAATTGTGATGTCTAAGATTATGTTTAGTTATATATTTGACTAGGTAGCTCAGTCACGTTGTTCTATTGAAGCTACTACATCCTTATTTTGAATGATGGAGATTCCTAAGTTGCTAACACTGCACTTGGAGAGAATATTGAGTTAAGTTATCTTAAATAGAGATCTCTGTTGTTTTCATTACCGTAACTTAGTTGTATATTTCTCATATTTTGACTGTTATCATTATTAAAAATGAATTTATTGTCCTATTATGGGTTAATGTTCTCAGTTTAGAAGTTTTTCGTTACATTTTTAGATCCTAGATTAGGCACTCTGTGGTAATTTGTAGTTTATTACTGAAAATTCAATGACTTCAAAAGCATAGCAATGTAAAAATATAAATTTTAATATTAAAATTAAACTGATAGTGCTTTTTAAATATCAGCATTTTTTCAATGATCATGGGGTTTTGGGGTTTTGGGGTTTTGGGG